GATCCTGATCCTGATCCTGATCCTGATCCTGATCCTGGTCCTGATCCCAATCCCAATCCAGGTCCTGATCCTGATCCTGGTCCTGATCCCAATCTCAGCCCTACTCCTGCTTCTGTTCTGCTGCCCCTGTCCTGATCCTGATCCTGATCCCAATCCTAATCCTGATCCTGGTCCTGATCCTAATCCTGATCCTGATCCTGGTCCCAATCCCAGCCCTGATCCTGCTTCTGTTCTGCTGCCCCAGCCCATCCTGGTACTGATCCTGGTCCTGATCCTGATCCCGATCCTGATCCTGATCCCAATCCTGGTCCCGGTCCTGATCCTGGTCCCGGTCCCAATCCTGGTCCTGATCCTCGTCCCGGTCCTGATCCTGATCCCAGTCCCAATCCTGATCCTGATCCTTGTCCCGGTCCTGATCCTGGTCCCGGTCCCAATCCTGATCCTGATCCTCATCCCGGTCCTGATCCTGATCCCAGTCCCAATCCGGAGCCTCTCCCCCAGTCCCAGTCCTGGTCCCGATCCCGATCCTGATCCCGACCCTCTCCCCCAGTCTCGGTTCTGATCCCGGCCCCGGTCCCTCTCCCCGATCCCGGTCCCTCTCCCCCGATCCCCATCCCGCCGCTCTCCCCGGTCCCGATCCCGGTCCCCACTCTCTCCCCCAATCCCGGTTCTGATCCCGGTCCTGATCCCGACCCTCTGCCCCGGTCCCGACCCTGATGCCGCCACTCTTCCCGGTCCCGATCCCGGTCCCGACCCTCTCCCCCGGTCTCGGTTCTGATCCCGGTCCTGATCCCGCTCCTCTCCCCGGTCCCATGCCGGTTCCCCGCTCCTCTCCCCGGGCCCGCTCCCGCCGCTCTCCCCGGTCCATGCCGGTTCCCGGCCGCTCTCCCCGGTCCATGCCGGTTCCCGGCCGCTCTCCTCGGGCCCGATCCCGTCCCTCTCCCCGGTCCATGCCGGTTCCCGTCCCTCTCCCCGGTCCTGCTCCCGCCGCTCTCCCCGGTCCATGCCGGTTCCCGGTTCCTCTCCCCGATCCCGATCCCACCGCTCTCCCCGATCCCATGCCGGTTCCCTGCTCCTCTCCCCGGATCCATGCCGGTTCCCGGCCCCTCTCCCCGGGCCCGATCCCGCTCCTCTCCCCGGTCCATGCCGGTTCCCCGCCGCTCTCCCCGGGCCCATGCCGGTTCCCTGCCCCTCTCCCCCGGCCCCTCTCCCCCGGCCCCTGCCCGTCACCGCCC